GGGAATTATCTCAAGGAGTACATATTGCATTCAAAGGTTTCAGTGTTCAGGAGATATAGCTTTCAACCTGTCCAGTTCCAAGTGTGTGACACTGACTTCAGAAATAATACTTATTACTGAAGTATTTACATTTGTGTACCTTAATAGAAACATCCATGTTACAGATGGGGACGTTGAGAAACAGGGGTTGTGACTACTTCAAGTTAGTAGCACAGTAAGGATGAAGTATGCAGAATTCTTAATTCCATTTCTATTTATTTTTAACATTCTCTTAGCTCTTTAGTCCTAATATTCATTCATAATATATGACTTTGGGAGCATGGTTTTATATATGTTACTCAATATTTCATTGCTGGATCATTTGAGTACAGTACAATGATTGTTACGTGTTTTACTTGTCTCCTAGGGAAGAATGTGTCTTTATACATTTTATTTTTGTATCATTGATGGATTGTGTTTTCTATACAGATCAATAGGCAAGATAGTAAGCAAATGTTTCAAAAGCAAAATACATTTAAATTTATCCTCTTACTTCATCAGCTCACGACCAGGAAGACCCCCCAAGCGTTCCCTGGGAGTTGCAATTCAAGAAAATGCACGTCTTCTGCCCCATGGAGTCCCAGGCCTCTTATCGCCAGGACTTATCTCCCCGACAGGTAATAAAATCCATCAGATGATCAACCTCATCTTTTCATACTGCACAGCAGTTGAAATAAACTAATATTGATCTAACTGCCTTGTCCTTCAGGGTTTTTCAAGCTTTACCAGAGGTTACATTATTGGATTTTTTTTGAGTACTCATGAAAAGTGCATTTTGTTGCTGCATTGACTAAAATCCAATGTATTTGTAATTTAGTTATTTATTAGTTGAAATTTCCTTACATTAAGTTCCATTAAATATTTTATCTAGTGAAAAGAAAAAAACTCTGAGAAAATGAACCATTGTCAGAGTCCTCTAGCATGCATTTCTTCTTTTCTGTCAAAAGTATCTTTTTGTTCTTGCTAATATATATGCTGTAATGTCATTAGGTAGGCTAGAGAGAGATAAAAATGGTTATGCTAACTATAGAAATGCTTGTGGAATGGATGAATAAAACCCACTGGATGGGTTTTCTTATTTTAGCATTTTTCATTTGTCATCATCATATAAACTAATGGTATAAATACCACATGATGACTATAAGTACACCCAAAATATTGTCACTGAAAGTGTTTTGCTTTTACTTCTTATTTAGTAACACAATTTAAATTAAAAACATGAACAATTTCAGTGAAGCTAAGCATTACTATTGCCAAGAGCTGACATACGATAAAGATGTGTATGTTAACTTGCTAATAAAGTCAAAGACACAACAACTTAATTAACAAACCAATGACTTAAATATTCATTAGCAACCACAAAATTCATAGCATGCAGCACTATGCAGGAAACATTTATAAATGTGCTGTTATGGGCTACAAATGAAAAAGCTATAGGATCCTTCTAGTCTTGAACCCACCAAGTGGGTTAAGGGATTGGCTACAACATAATGTCTTAGACCTTGATCTGTACCACCTTATAAAAGTGGATGACTGCACTAAGCCTCATTGACCTCAGTGGGGCTTTATGTGGCTACAGCTGTCCATCCATCTGTAAGAAATTGCAGAGGCAAGTCCTTAAATCCACCCACTCTGACCATGCAGTGAGTGGGAAATGTAATGATTTCAGTTACCGTGATCCACTGAGAAACAATAACCTGTGTAACATGGAGGCAGAAATGACCTCAAGCAATATTAACAACTTTAATAATTATTTCAAATTAAGTAGTTGAAATTTGAAAATTTTTGCTAGATTCAAATACTAGTTGGCTCTACTCTGTTACCTAATGATGATAATATGCAATGAATAATTCATTTATGCAGTAATGAAATTCTAGAAATATGCATCCATTCTGAATATCAGTTTTTATAAAAACATGTTTTAATTATTAGGATGTTTTAAATAGTGTTTTTGTTATGTTCCCAGACTCAGATTTTTCATATGTTCAGTGTTATCCATATTACCACTAGTGGGGAAAAAGCAAGAGAGGCAACTGGCATTGATATACTGTTATCAAAGTACACAATATTGTCCATTTCTTTAATGCTGTGTTGGTAAATAGGGTCTGAAGTTATAGAATGAGCATACTGATGTAATTTGGGAAGTGTTTTAGGAGTTGAAGTGCACTGTATATACAATGAGATATCATTCAAATGACTTGTACATTTTCATGAAATATTTCCCCCCAAGAAAATGACTAAATTGGCTTCAAAAATAAAAAAAGTTTTATTGATTTACTGGAGTTCTTTTAAAATGCTGAAGATATTTAACAAAATAGTAAAGATTAAAGTGAATTTAAAAATATTTCTACTAGGATGTAATTTAGAATTCTAAACAGAAAATGAGCACTGGTACAGATCCTTTGGGAAAGAGGACCTTTATAGTCATGGCATTCTCTATTTAAAGAGAAGTGTTATAGAACAAAACGAGGGTACAGAATGGCTCCAACAGAAGACTGGATTCATAGGAATTTCTTCTTCAACTAAAGGAAGCAGAGACAGCTGCTGCTTCTTACCAAACCTTAATTACTTAAAAAAGCTGCATCTTATTTTGTAAAGAAAAAGCAAGCTTTGTCTCAAAGGAAGGAAAGATGAGGCAGTCCCAAAGGAAGGAAAGAAAAGTGCTACAAGAGCCACTTCCAGATTCACTTGGGATTTGAGATATGTGCTTCTATGAGATACTTGGGATACAACATTTATTTATATGTTTATACATGCTTACTAGTATTAATTAGGGAATTGACCAACTTCTAGGCTCACTGTACATGGCCTTAGTAATTGGCTTCTATTTTTATCTGAACTAAAAGTAATACATTTCCATGCTTCTCAAAGAAGGCAGACTTTTTAATATGACTTTGTATGGTGTATTGTAGACTGGAACCAGGGATTTACTACACTCTTCCCAGTAGAATTAATGGGGAAGTGTTGAAAAGGTGGAATCTTTATACACTGATGCTCTTTTAGCATCAATGTGTAAGACAAGGAGCAATGGTCTCAAATTGCAGCAAGGGAAGTTTAGGTTAGATATTAGGAAGAATTTTCTCGCTAGGAGGGTAGTAAAACACTGGAACAGGTTACCCAGACAGGTGGTGGAATCTCCATCCTTGGAGGTTTTAAGACCTGGCTAGACCAAGCTTTGGTGGGATGATCTAGTTGAGGATAATCCTGCTTTGAGCAGGGGGTTGGGCTAGATGATCTCCTGAGGTCCCTTCCAAACCTAATTTTCTATGATTTTCTGCTCTTTCTGTTTCTCGTTAGGCTGCAGTATAACTTGTCTCTCTGGGTCTTTTTTTCCTCTGGGCACCTTAGATCTACCCTACCCCATCCAGGGACCATCTCCACTTAAATAATCTAGAGTAAACCTTGATCTTTTCCCTTTTGTGGTGGAGTGACCACACACATATATTTTAGATGGAAAATTTGAAAGTTGTTATGCTTAAGTGTCAACATGCTCTGAGAATGAACATGTTAATACGTTAGGACTCAGCATGGAAAAATTGAATTGTATATCAGCAAGGATGACACGATCTGTACCTTCATATTATTTCCTTTTAATCCACCCTTATTTAATGATCTACCAATTCAAATTACAGCATTCTCCTTCAGCCAGTCTGCCAGTTAGATGGATAGGTCCCAAGGCATTACTGCTGTGAGCTATGGAGTTCACAGATCAGTCTGTGGAGGGTATTATAGAGTAGCAGGGGTATTAGATCAGGGGATTAAACATATGGCCCTCTGGCCTGTGTGGCTCCTTGCAGACCAGGGAATTCGGAGGTAGGAGGCCCAGTGGGGGCCAGGGTGTGCTACAGTATCCAAGGTTATGCGGCTTCATTGGGCATAGGTGTCAGCAACAGTGCTTGCTCCAAGACAGCCCCACTTGCTCTCTGGCTCCTTTGCCTGCCATTGTTCACCCTATGGCCAATTGGTCTGCCACTTGTGCTACTGCCTCCATCGCTGGCCCCACCACCACTGCCCCTGATGATGCTGCCACTTGTCTGCTGCTGACAGGTCCATATGTGGTCCATGACAAGCCCCATTGACTGAATCCAGCCCAGGAGGCAGGTTGAATGTATATTACAGGGCTGTTGTTGTTACAGTTTTGCAGACAGAGTCCTCTAGTGGAGACTTGGCATATGGTGGCAGTTGGGTTTTTTCTGCCATTTTTGCTATACAGTACCTGGTCCCTGAACAGTAAGATCTGTCAGCAGACACCCTCTTCTCAACATAGATGTGTCCACACTGGGCATTTACTGGCAGAGCTATGGCAACTGTGGGAAATATTCTTTTTATACCCTTAGTTGACTTTGCATTACTGGAAATATTTGGACTGCAGATCAAGATTAGCAGCTTCCTCCAGACTTCAGTGCCATCCAGTACTGTAAAATATGCTACTATCTTAATCATCCGTTATCAGTTTAAACAATCATTTTCATGTAATAAACAAGGAGTTACACGTGGCCTGCTGCATTTCTCAGTGCCCTGAAATTTCTTAGGTAGAAAATAGTACACCATGGAGAATTGGACTATAACTTTCATATATGCACAAGAAAAAATTGTAAAGAGGACCCTGAATGAAGTCTCTTCCTTTTCATATACCATATTTACTCAAATAGATGATCCTGATTATAAGACAACCCCTCAATAACTAGATTCTATTTATGGAAAATTTACAAATTTGTTATAATTTTCCAGGTATAGAATCTAATTATTGGAGGTTTGCCTTGAATTTTCCCCCCTCCCACTACTGCAGCAGGGAAAATAAATCTGGGGGGTCAGGTAACCGCCTTGCCCTCTGTCTCCTCCCAGCTTCTTCCCCCCGCAGCTCCTCCCTCCCCCTTTACCATCCGAACCTGCTCTCTCTTAGCACATGGAAGTAAAAAGCAAATTTGAAAGCACTGACCTTGAATTTAAACATAGCTACAATAATTTGTATATAGTATCCATAGATCTAGTTCATCCATAATTGGTGCATATTACCTTTTTAAAAAAATATGCTGCAAATTTTAGCATAGGTACTCCATAAACACCCCTTTAAGGAGCACTTTGGCACCTCCTTATATACAGTATAGACTTTTCATTTTTTTTATTTTTAAGGAAAATTTTTTGTGTCCAAAGGTCAAATCAGCGAAATCAACTCCCAATCTGTGAGTCATTCAAGAAATATATGTGGCCCTGCTACCAGCAAACATCCTCTAACACTGCCGGAGGTTTCAGATGTTTCCAAGTCATTTGGCAGGCATCCTATGTGCAGGCCGAAGCCTAGAGGCTTGGGGTTCGGATGCCCCCGAGTTTCACTTGCCGTTAGCCATATGGCCACAGGAGCAAGCTAGGGAGAAATCTCCCATTTCCATAAAGTTGGCATAAAGCCAAGATCTTTCCACTGGAAGTGAAAATGGGAGACTAGCTATGCATTACCTCAGCCAGTGTACTACCCTTTGCCAGAAAAGTAGTTATCCCCTGCCAGTAGGAAAATCACGTTAGCGGTCATGGTATTTCCCTTATACAGTACCAACTATGCATGATATTAGTCCAAACCAAAAAGGCTCGTGTTTTACCATATAATTCATTGGGCTGGGCT